ACTTACAATGATCAAAGCTAGCTCTTCTGGGAGATTAACCCATACTTTTACTGCAGCAGTCGTCCTGGAAACTGGTGATATTAAGATGTGTCTTAAGGACATGGCCGTATGGTGACAAATTGTTTGGAATGTCATGCATTGTAAAGGTATTACACATCTGAAGGAGTTCAGATTAATGTTCCTTGTACTTTATAAATTCTTGTTGTAGACGTTTGATGTTGTGTTTGCAATGCATTTAGACTTTTATCATCACTCATCTCATCTGGCAAGCGTTGGTGTGTTCCTATCAGGAACCCATCAGGCTCAACCAGCAACATGCGAGCAAGATAGTATCCCTCAGAACGAAAGTGGTCCGTCTCCAAACAGTGGTCAACCAGGTCAAACCTAAGTATGAGGCAATCTCGGAGGCCCACATCAGACAGGCCAATCTAGTCCATAGCCTCCAGCTACGCCCTGCCTCCACCCCAGGAGCCAGAATCTCTCTACTTGACAAATGGGATGGGCTGGACGGAAAACCTGGTGGTGTGTTTGCCACCCTGGATATGATATTTGAATGCCACCCTGCTACATATACCTTAGCTGTTCCCAGGGTGGCTCTGCTGACCTCCCTCCTAACCGGGCATACCGAGGACTGGGCGGCTGCTCTCTACAGAGAATTCCGCTGTTGTGTCCGTGGGCAAGACACTTAACCCACCTTGCCTGCTGGTGGTGGTCGGAGGGACCGTTGGCGCCTGTGCTTGTCAGCCTTGCCTGTGTCAGTGTGCCCCAGGGCAGCTGTGGCTACAGCGTAGCTCATCACCACCAGTGTGTGAATGTGTGTGTGAATGGATGAATGATACACTGTAGTGTAATGGGCCATTCCCATGTGTACCTGCTCCGCATGGTCCGGGCATCCCCAGCCAGCCCCAGCCCGGCCTGAGTGATTCCTCACTTTCCTCACGTCCTTGCTCTGGAATGCGGACGTGATTGAGCATGCGGGCGGTCCCCAGAAATTGGCGGGAGAAGTTGGTGCGAACATGTCAGTGATGTCGTATATCAGCGACCATTTGAGCCGCCCTGTGTTTATATGTGTGTAGGGTTGTAAACAATGGAGAATTTTGTGGTGTTATTTTTCATGGATCTGCGCTTGTGGCTCTTTTTGGGGGCCAGACTCCGCGCTAGACTGGCCGAAAGGCGTCGGCTTCGCCAGCTGAGGAGGGATGAGAGGAGGGTTAAATCTGCAAAGCGTTGCCGAGTCATGCTGGAAGCCATTCTGAAGCAGTACAACACATTGCTGCGATTACGACAACGCAGACGATGCATCCTGGTAATTGCTAAAATTCAAATTCTAACGAGCGTCACGCACGGTGCGTGTTTAATACACTTCAAATTAATAAAATACGTTTCATTTGTTTTAGATGGCTATTTTGGAAGGCTCCAGCTGCAGACGCGCAGTCTGGTCACTCAGCCAATCCTCTGACTGGTGGGATAAATATGTGCATCGTTATACGGAAGGGCAGTGGTTGAAGCACTTCAGAATGTCCGAGGAGATGTTAATTTTCTTGTGCAACAAACCACGGCCAGCATTGCAGCGAAAAGACACTTTCTTCCGTGAGTGTGTGCCTCTGAGGAAGATTGTGGCTATTGCGTTATGGAAATTTGCTAAAGGTTCAGATTACAGACCCATCTGTGTTTTGTTTGGTGTTGGCATCTCAACTGTTGCCAAGTGTGTCAAGGACTTTTGTGCTGCTGCAGAAGCATTGTTGTTCAATTCAATTCAAAGATACTTTATTAATCCCAGAGGGAAATTAGAGTTTCAGTACACACAATTCCGAGTTGCCAGAACTGATTCATTTACCCAATGAGAGTAAATTTCGGGAGATAGCATCCTATTTTGAGAGCAGGTGGGGGTTGCCACAGTGTGTGGGTGCTATTGATGGCTCACACATCCCCATCTTAGCACCCAGAAACTTTCACACAGATTATTTCAACCGGAAAGGGTGGCAAGCTGTGGCTGATGGAAAGGGGCTGTTTTGGAAAATTTTTGCAGGGCTTACAGGGAGCATGCATGATGCGAGGGAACTGCCACTTTCCTCCATCTGGGATTTGGCAAGCCGTGGAAATCTCTTCCCTGACCATTCAATCCAAATTCCTGACGTTGACTTTGGATACTGCATCCTGGGTGACTCTGCTTACCCGATGTGACTGGCTTCTGAAACCATTCACAGAAACTGGGCGACTGACAGCGCAGCAACTTCTTTTTAACAAGAAGTTCAGCCGGGCACGTGTGGTGGTTGAAAATGCCTTTGGTAGGCTGAAGGGAAGGTGGCGCTGCCTACTTAAAAGGAATGACTGTGATGTCAGTCTGGTGCGTTCCATGATTCTGACCTGCTGTGCCCTGCAGAATCTGTGTGAGAGCCATGGGGAGAATTATGACAATGTGTGGACAACTGAAATGGAATACCCTGAACCTGTGGCTGCACCACCACCGCCACAAAACACAGGAGATGTGGGAGGGACAGCAAAGTGTGATGCTTTGATGATGCACCTGCTGGGGCAGTAGTGATTGGAGTACATCCGACTTTATGTTTTGCTCAAATAAAGTTTTATCCACTCAGAAAATGTTTGACCTTTGAACTTTCTTTTATGCACCACCACCTAAAAATTGTAAACATGAGCAAATATATTTCATGAGTTTGTTTTAAGTCAAGTGTGGACTGTACACATTTGAGCTTCTGATCCTTCTAAACACGCCTGCTGACAAAAAGAATAAAAAAATAAAACTACCATCTTTTAAATCCAAATAAATTATATGGACATCATGTCCAAATTAATGCAGATCAGCTAGATAAAGTTGACTTGAGAAATTGTTTTTATGCACATCCAAGGCTTCGCCATATGTCTCAAGTCTGGTTATTAAGGCAAGTGCAAATAAATATTTGGACTCTTGTTTACATTGATGCCTGACTGACAAAAGTTCTTATTAGCCAAGTGTGGAGTGCACATTTGAGCTTCTGATCCTTCTCTACACTCCTGCTGACATATAACCTAATCTTGTCTACAATGACACCTACCTGGTATTTATTCCTATATAAATCTCAAAGTTGAATAAAGCAAATATCAAAGGCTGGTTTATGTTATTTTAGCACATATATTTGTATATTGAAACTATAATTGGACCCTTCCACTTCACATTCTGTGAAATGGACACAGTGATATCATTACACGTTGCATTATCAAACACTTTATTGCACCTCTATTTTAAAAAAACAAACAAAAAACATTCAGGTCATTTATTTAGTAGATTTTTCGACCGCAGACACCAAACTACGCAGCACATCCAAGAAAGCTTGGTTGAATTCCCGCTGTTCTATCCTCTCCTCTTGTCTCTCATCCCTCAAGTCTCTCATCCTTCTGCAGGCATCTGTCTTCCATCTCTGACTCAGTGTGCTGCTCCATTAAACAGTTCATCTTCCTCGCAGTCTCAAGGAAAGGAACCCTGCGTCACTCTCCACCAGCGTCTCCAACAACGGTGATGCGATGCTACTCCCCCTCCTCCTTTTTCCTGAATGAACGCCAAAACGATGTAAATGTAATTACACGTGCTTGTCATATTTTGATGTTGTTGTTGCAAATGAACTCACCGTAACATGGTTTGTTGTCCATCGATGACGCTGAGACGCTTGGGCTGCAGCTACGGCCGCAGTCGCCAGATGAGGGCCCAGCGTGCATGTCCCCAGTGTCGGGCACGTCCTGGCTCTCATCGGCGCACAGTTCCAGAGTTATCTCTTTTACAAAGAGAAAACAATAAATAACTTAATATGCACAAACACAAATTGGGTTAAATAACTAACCGAAGACGTTAATGGGCAAGCTAGGCCACAAGTAGGCATACCACAACTAGCCTGGAGTTAGCCTAGCCTTTTGTTCGCATATCAGCGCTACCATTTTGTCCGCACTATAGTACTGTGTAGCACAAACGGGAGGTCATATTATTAATTATTATGATAAGTGCTCACTCACCATTGTCCTGAGGGCCAGTGTAAGCTGGAGTGGCTCACAGGCCTCTCACCATAAATGGCATCCATGTCGGCAAACCATTTCCAGTGCCGCCGGTCTGCCCCACTCCTGCTGTTGTGGTCCTTGACGGACCTGTACTCAGCTTTAAGTTTTTTTAATTTTTCAGGGCACTGCTTGGAGGTGCGTTCGTAGCCATTGGTGGACATTGCTTGTGCAAGTCCCTGAAAGTCCTTTTCGTTTCGCACAGAACCGTCCAGTTTGCGCTGGATTCTGTCATCAGCGAGCAAAGAGAGGAAGATTTTAACCTCCTTATTGCTCCAGGGGTTCGAAGCTGAGGTCTGCAAGCAGGGAGAAGACATGTCGATGCTGGAGAACACAAGCAAGAAATGGCGATGCTGAAGACTGAGTTTGTCGCGATTCTGTGACATCACTACTCATACTAAATGTAAACACTGCAAGGCCAATCAGAAGATTCGATTTAAGGGGAGGGTAACGCATCACTTGACCAATCGGTGGAGACAAGGGCGTGTTGGGCCTGGTCGGCCTGAAGCAGACCCCTCGAGAAGAGGGCTGAGAATGAGCCTTGGTGCACCCGGAAAAATACCAGGCCACCCAGATATGTAAACAAGCTATGCTATCCGGGCCGGGCCGACCAGGTACAAATGGGAATGGCCCATAAAGTGCTTTGGAGTCCTATGACTCTGAAAGGTGCTATACACCATCATCCTTGTCTCCCACCATGCTTCACCCAGCAAAGCCGACAGTTCATTTCCTTTCAGCCCATTTGAAACATTTTATTTTTATTTTGCATACCCTTGTTTCACAGCTTTCATCCTTTTTCTAAAAGCTCACACAGGGAGTCAATCCTTCTTTCCTTTCAAAGTAAAAGCATCCTCTTTGTCAATTGTAAAATTAGTCTAATCTTAGGACAAAATTCTAAACCTAATTATAGTAATTATGAATTTCATTCAATTCAATTCAATGAAATTCAAAAATACTTTATTAATCCCAGAGGGAAATTGATTGCTGTAGTAGTTCAGAATAATAATAATAATCAAGTCATCAAAGAGTTGTTGTATATTACAATGGCTGTTGGCAGGAAGGATCTCCAGTAGCGGTCAGTGTTGCAGCAAAGCTGAACAAGCCTCTGACTGAAGACACTCTTCCATTGTCGGACAGTCTTGTGAAGAGAATGCTCAGGGTTGTCCATCATTTTCTTGATTCTCTGGAGAATCCTTCTCTGCATTATCTCCTCCAGCAGTTCCACAGTCGTCCCCAGAACAGAACCAGCCTTTTTTATTAGGCTGTTGGGTATGTCTTTTCTCTGATCTGTTCCTTTGCTCTTCTTGTTTGGGATTTTTCTTGTAAAATGAAAAATCTCAATAAGTCAAATAGTGTTGCACCTTTAAGTAGAGCAACAGGACAAGCAATGTATTCTCTGAGTGTCTTGAGGCAGCTCTAACACAAAATAATCTGTCTGTTGGGGAAGGAAGACCCTTCTGCGGGATGCGTGCTATAACTTTATTATATCAGGACCCTTATTGTTAAACAAAGGTTTCGTTTTTAGCTTTTACTGACGTTCTTTGTGGATTATTCTTGTTCTGTAGTGTTCGTTTTTGCGAGAACAACCTCTCTGGTGTTATCACCTTTTGTATATTTGCTCAGATTGTATTTGTCCAATCTGGCTTCTCTCATCTGAAGGTTATTTTCATGGTAACAGACTTCTCCCTTCTTATCCTGCTCAGATTTGTGTAAATATAACCATGTGGCCAAATGACATCACCGAACATTGTTCATGCTGAGAATGATGTAAAGATTGGAAAGAGGATTTGTGATGAATTTAACAGTGGGTCCTCCGACTGCCCCTCCTCCCCCTCCTCTCCTCGTAACTCCATTCACCGAGGATTACGTTTCTGCGACTGAAACTTGGCAGGATGTTCACCGCCCCTAATATACGTAGTTTCTGACCACACTGGCATTCCAGCTTTATGTGCTCGGACCAGCAACTCTTTTGTCATGTGGAGAGTAGAGATATGGCTGCAGAATGCAGAAGATGAGATGAAACCATAACGGGAGATAAACCAGTAGGTGAGCTTTTATTGCTCTGTGCTTTACCTGGATGTGCTTCTGCTTCACACAATGCCATCCACTTAGATGATGGATTATAACTACGTCTGATTGTGAGTCAAACTGTTAGGACGTGACATCCATAGTAGAAATGAGTATTTGGCATAACAGCGTAGCTCCCCAGATGTGTTTACATATGATTCATGTTCACAGGTGCGGAATGGACTGAAATCTCTCTGAGATGAAGACATGTTTAGTTGTTGGAAAACAGAAGTGTTTTGTTGTGTTTTTTTTAACCAAAGTTCATATTATTTTTATTTTCTATTGATTTCATAACAGTTCCTGTATTCTGCTCATTAGATAAAGGTTGTGAGACTTTTTAGTCTACAGATGTTAAACTAAGAGGAGTTTGTGTTGGTTAAGGGCTCCATGTTTTTGCAGTCAGCATCTTAATCACACAGTTTATCAGCATTTACACAGAGTATTCTGGGATGTACAGCTAATCCGTTTTAGAATCAGCGTCAGTCGTGTCAGTCTGCCACTTGTGGACAGATAATCACGTCTAAGGTTTACAGTTGATGGCGCCTCCTTGCCCAGAATTTCATCTAACACCTGTACGATAATCCTGTTATTTGTGAAATATCTCAACCACAATTCAGTAAAATCTGGAGCAGAGATCCATGATGTCCATGGATTAAACCACAGATGTCATGACCAATCAACCTTTATTTGTTTTCTAACTAAATATTTTCAGTATTACAAGGAATTGTAGCTTGGATGATTTTATAAATATCAGGTGTACATATGAAATTTAGTGCAGATATGTTGGTCCTATTCATCATGAAATTTATACCTTAAACAGTCCACCTATTTTATGAGCTAATTAGTGAAGAATTGTTTTGCACACTAAAATTATTTCAAGTGTTTGTTGGAGATGCACAAAGAACCCTGTTTTTTTTTAATTGAAGAGTAAACAGAGTAAGTCAAGGAAAATGGTTTGCAGAAAGGAGACTTACAACTTCTTATCCATGTAGACAGTCTCATTTGCTGAATCTACTTTGCTGCTTTTACAACAACATTTCTCTGTTGAGGGACAATAAATGTATTTTCTCTTCTATTCCACTTTAGTTTTAAGTTAAATTAGTAATTATGTTGTGTTATGACTTTTTTTCCCAATCAATGAAACAAAAAAACTTCTCATAAAATAAATAAAGCTGAAGACATTTTAAATATAATACAAGCTAAATTTGATGAAAACACAAAATTCCATATGTAAATTCAGAACTATTACTTCCTTCTTTCCTGATTCTTTAAATGATTTTTAGGGGTTCTTTTGGTTGTTTTTTTTTTTTTTTTTTTTTTTTTTTTTTTGCTCATGAAAGTAAAGTTTTTCTTCACTAGTAAATAACTGCAGGTAAAATGATGCTTAGCTGTGTTTTTTTTTTGTCAATATTAAAATAAGTTTGGATGTTTGGCCTTGTTGTAACTCGTGAGTGGCGCCTTCAGATTTTTCTGTTGCCGTTAAAAAAAAACTGGTCAAATACAGAAAATATCCAGTTAACACGAACCAAAATTCAGCATTGTTTCTAATGAAACTTAAAGGGAGACAAAACCCTCACAAACGCAAGAGAACATTACCCACAATGGGGGAGCGGTGAGCTGCAGACACAGCCGCGCTCGGGAACCATTTGGTGGTTTAACCCCCCAATCCAACCCCGTAATGCTGAGTGTCAAGCAGGGAGGCATTGGATCCCATTTTTATCCAAGTCTGTGGTATGACCCGACCAGGAATTGAACCCTGATCTCCCAGTCTCAGGGCGGACACTCTACCACTAGGCCACTGTGGTATATATATATATATATATATATATATATATATATATATATATATATATATATATATATATATATATATATATATATATATATATATATATATATATATATATATATATATATATATATATATATATATATATATATATATATATATATATATATATATATATATATATATATATATATATATATATATATTTACCAGTTACTCACTTTGTAGTATCCAGATGTATTCATAGCTTGCCTATTAAGTTATCTAGATAAAGCTGCATGCAGCTTCAGGTAGTCATGCTCTGAATTTGAGGTTGTTGTCCACACCTTTATCTCCTCACGCTAAGACAACTGCAACCTGGATCGTTTACAGGTGGTTCAAAATGCCTGTGCTCAGCTTCTCATCTAGCCGTCAGAGTACACCCAAATCACACCGCATCTCCTCCAGCTTCACTGGCTGCTAGTCAACTTCAGGGTTCATTTCAAGATCCTGGTTCTAGTCTTTAGGGAATTACATGGACAAGCACCATCATACATTGGTAATCTTCTTGGATTTCCGCTTCCGGTCGGCAACAAGATGGCGCCTGTGCTTGGCTTAGCCGCCGTCACCGGCCACTTTTTCAAACTTTCCTCCACTAACCTCCTCTTTTCCACCTTGCTCTTGTTTGCAATCCTCTTCAGTAGTGTCCCTGCTACCATCTCCTATGATCGCCAGATTCTTTTGTCCTTCCGTTCGTTCACGATCGCCCAAGATGCACCGAGGACATACCATCCTGTTTGTTTACCTGAGTGGCGCACTGGCCTGGAGGCAAACGACGGTCCCGAGCTGCCCGCCTCCGGCTATGTTTGTCCGGTCCTGGGAAAACGTCGGAGGAAAAGAGGTAAACGAGCAGGAATCCAGATGAGAATGAGACTTCTCTTAAAGCATGGTTTATCTAGTAAACATCGGCGCGATCTTCTAGCTTCTTGTCCTTTGTTTGGTGACCTGAGCGCCACTTCTGCATTCCCGCCAGGCCGCGTTGCAGCGCGGTTCATCCGTCCAAGTTTTTTAAGGTCGGTTTATCCTCATTCCTCAGTGGTTTCTCCTCCTGTTCCCTCCATAAGTGGTTTTTATAAACACCGTGGATCTAACCCTGCTAATTTACGTCCACTAACTCCAGCTGTTTCTGTAGTTTCTGATTCCTCCACCTCACTCAGCATGGCTCTATTAAATTCCCGCTCTGTTAACAATAAGTCCTTCCTGCTCAATGATTTAATTCTCTCTAAAAACCTGGATTTTCTGTTTCTGACTGAAGTTTGGCAGCAAACATCTGATTATTCTGGTCTGATTGAACTCTGCCCGAGTGGTTATTCTTTTCTTAGCCAGCCCCGGGGTTCTGGTCATGGTGGAGGCCTAGCTGTTGTTTTCAGAGACCATCTTCCATGTAGCTCTACGACCTCTGGTCACTTTGCTTCCTTTGAACTGCAGCTGATTAAAGTCGGGCGTAAGGACCCGTTCTACTGTGCTGTGGTTTATCGTCCACCTGGTCCAAACAGTTCTTTCCTTCAGGAGTTTAGTGACTTTCTATCCTCCACTGTGAAGCTGTCCAGACTGGTGATTGTTGGTGACTTTAACATCCACGTTGATGATCCCTCCGATCTCTTTGCCATGAATTTCTCCAGCTTTATGGATTCCTTCGGCTTTACCCAGCATGTTTCTGGCCCCACACACATCTGAGGGCTCACTCTGGACCTTGTTTTTACCATGGGTCTAAACGCTGACAGTGTTTGTCCTGAGGACATTTATATTTCAGATCACCATTTCATTTTCTTTAACTTGTCAGTTTCTGCGTCCCCACCTCCTGCTCGCCGAATGGTTCTCGTTTTCTTAATGAGAGCACAGCTAGCAATTTTTCTGCTGCTTTTGATCCACCCTGTTCTTCTGATAACGACCCAGATTCCTTAAAGGGGCATTATGGAAGTTTGACAGCCAAAACATGTATAGAAATAATACATTTATTCTTCATACATTCTCCTGCAATGCCCTGGTCCTGTAGAATGAGCCCTGGCATTTTTACTGTGATTGCCTGTTTTTCTGTAAAATCACAGAAAAGGAGAGATGCTCGGGTCGAGCAGGCTGCTTCATGTGCGTTCACACTCAGGCATAGCCCGTAGCGTTTGCTATCAGTAGCTTTAGCAGCAGAGAGTGAGGTAGTGCCAACTCAGCGACTTTGTCGCTGTACACCTAGTGATGAACCTAGCTACATTTCTGAGGACCCTTAGCTACTTTCTTCTAGATATTTCCTACAAATTAGCAACAAAATAGCCATTTTCGCTCCAAACTATTCTTTGGTTTGACATTGTTTCAGCTGTCATCAAGGATATAAGTTACAGATACTGTGATTGCTAGTAGAGTGTAGCTCACCTTTAGCTCACCTTGGGTTTGATTCTGGATGTGAACCTAGTTCATTTAGAGTTTCTATTTTACATTAACAGTATATTTTTTTACAGTAAGATGCCCAAATTTTTATTTGAGACTCGCCGAACGGCATTTAATTCATAGATTAAAAATTGTGGGTTCAACTTTCATTTTGGAACAATTTTTCAAGCAAGGGAATGGAATGATCTGAGCATGCAGGAGGACTGACCCATCTTAAACTTATGTCGGCTGTGCTGAAGAGAAAGGTACATAACCAAATTATTTAATTAATTAGCTGCGCGTTCTCCTGTCCTCTGTCCTCGGGGCCACACACACGGAGCTGACTGTCTCAGCTGTTATTTTCGTTAAGGAGTGTGCACTACAGCATGCGCGCCTCGTGCACGAGCCTACTATTGAAGCTGCCGTGATGCTTTTGGCCTGAGGGGGCAATCACGAGCATAAAAATTCAAAACTCCGTAAAGTCCCTTTAACTTCTCAGTTTAACGAGCACTGCCTCTCCATTCTGGACAACATCTGTCCTGTCAGAACCAGATCAGTTCCTGCAGTGAACCCTACTCCCTGGTTTAATGACAGCCTTCACAGCCTGAAGCGCCAATGCAGAAAAATTGAGCGTTTGTGGAAGAAAACCCATCTCCACGTCCATCTGCTACACCTAAAGGATCTTCTGTCATCCTTTAACTCTGCAGTCAGAGACACCAGGGTTTCCTATTTCTCCAACCTGGTGTCCCAGAGCAAAGGGAACCCCAAGGTGCTGTTTAACACCATCAG